GAATGGGGGGATCTGTTACTTAAAATGCTCTAAGAAAAATTTTAAACATATTTATTATAACATTATCAAATCACAAAAGATTATAACAGAAATTATTCTAGCATTCATCTCAATATCAAATTCACTTGTTCCAATCTGTACAATACATTATTTATCAAAGATCCTCTTTTTTCCTTCCACAGGAGACAGGTGAGAGGAAAAAAAAAAAGATTCTTGCCAAAATGTGTCCACTGCCCCCTAGTGCCCATTTTAAAGAAAGCCCTTCTGCACTAGCAGTTTAGAAATGCTAAAGCACATACTGCCTGGATTTTGGAATAGAGCTTCTAGCATCCTCTGCTGACAACATCTTGCAGGTGTAATTAAATCTCTCTGTTTTAAACAGTATTAATTCTTCTTTGAAGCTAAGTTCATTAAGCTTCATCACACTTTTTAAATAACTTTTCTTCCTAGTCCGCTTCAATTAAATTAAAATTCATCATTAGTGAAATATTATGATGAAAACAACAAAACCACCCAATGTTGTTTCCAAGACTCATTTCATTCTCATTACTAAAAAGTAAGAGAGTTTTTATACATGTTTAATTCTTCAACCTTTCCTTAGGCATGAGGAAAAGAGACTGACTGATACAGGTGGTTGGCAATGACCAAGGCCAAAGAGATGAAAAGCCTCAGACTAGAAGACAGAGAAGCACGGTGGTGGCCCAAAACTTGGACTCCCAACCACAGAACGTGCCAGGCAGAGAGTCAGACAAAGTTCATGGAAAACAGGTGCTCACAACTAAAAAGTCAGTGTTACATCAGCCTTTAGTTACAGTCATAAAACTCCAGCTTCCAATTTTCTGTAGCAATGGGAAACAGGATAGCAAGAATAATGAAAATCCTCAATAACCCCAAAGTCTCCATTTAATTATAAGTTACAACCTTCCTCACCTAAAAAAAAAAAATTAGGACCATGGAGAAATAATAGGAGTGGTTAAAAATTATTTTTCACCTCTTTTCTCTGATTTTTGTACTTTAATTTTTACTTGTTCAGTCCTAAGAAAAATAATAAACCTTCAAATTTTATTGCCATCAGAGATAACTGGAATAAAGAACAAGTAAAAAACAAGTTTGTGGGCCGGGGATTTAGCTCAGTGGTTTCACCGCCTGCTACCCAAGCACAAGGACCTGAGTTTGATCCCCGGTACCAAAAAAAAAAAAAAAAAGTTTGTCATAAAAACAAATTATAATATATATTAACATTTCCAATCCAGTGACTCAAATAGTAACACTAACCCCAACTATCCAGAAACTAAAGTAAAATGCGTCTTTTAAAAAGTAATCACTGGGTGGCAGCGCAGTCTATAATGTACATACTAACATGCACTCTGGTTACTTTCCTTCAAATTCTAGATCTATCAAAAACTCATTTTTTAAAAGGTGTGATTAGAAGGGGTACAAAGAACTATGCTCTACACAACTTAGTGAGTTAGTCTCATTCTACCTTGGGGCAGCTTTCACAATTCGGGGATAAAACTCGGTCCTTGCGCTTGTGCACCAGGCAGCGAAACCACTAAGCTAAATCCCCGGCAGCCTTCACAATTCTTAAACTGTTGTGCAACTGAACTGGAAGGTTAGAACAATGCATATATAATGGTTCTTATGGAAACAGATGATTACCTTTACTTCCATGCTTGCATTTGCTCAGTTTACTTCTCTATTTTCATTTTCCACATAAAAACTAAGGATTGATACATCATAAAGAAAAACACTCAAGGGCTGGGGATTTAGCTCAGTGGCACCACACCTGCCTGGCAAGCACAAGGTCCTGAGTTCAATCCTCAGTACCAAAAAAAAAAAAAAAAAAAAAAAAAATACAAAAAAAAAAAAAAAAGAAAAATACATTAAAATGAAAAGAAGCCATAAAATGAACATTTCAATCATAAAAACCAAAAAAAGTTAAATTCCACTTCTATAATTCCTTTTTTATTGTATTGTTTTACTGACACCAGGGATTGAAACCAGGGCCTCTCACATGCAAGGCAATCACTCTACTACTGAGCTACTTCCCAGCCTAAGAAATAACACTTCTGTACAAGGTATTATACTTCTTAACCTAACAAATAACACTTCTATATAAAAGGTATTATACTAAAATTCCTATGGGAGTTTTTTGAAATTACTGTTATCTTTTATCTTCAAGTCCTTGTACTTGAGATTATTACATGTAATTGCAAAAGGGAAGCAGAGGAGTAACCACACAAATAATGACTTAACAAAGAAAACAATTTAAGTTTGCTGTAGAAGGCAGAAACCAACCCTGTGAAGTAGCACATGCAGCTAATATCTGGAAATGTTGCTTAGAGAAAAATTACATTTGAAATGGTTTATAAAGGTTGGACAAAATTTCAGCAACAGAAACTAGAGGAATGGAAAAGCAGCACTACAGTTTTAATCAGTATCAATTGATTAAATCAGTATCAACTCAATACAAGTAGACTCCTTTTTGTCAGGGAGAATTAATGAGCAAAATAAGGAATGACAAGGTCTAACATACTTTTCAATCAGGAGAGATAGATAAGACACCCTATTCTGAGGAAAGATTAGATATATTATTGAAAAATATTCTGAGTTGCTGAGATGGGCAGCAGTGACTGAGAAATGAATTATATAGCCGCTGTGGAAACAGAGGGGATGAGTAAAATCTCCTCTAAGAAGTACCACGTTTTTTTCTTGTACAAATTAAGATGAATTAGTAAAGAATATACATTTGAATAATCTATTTTCTCAGCGTTCTGGAAGCTAGAAGTCCATAATTAAGGTGCTGGTAGATTTGGTTTCTGGTAAGACCTCCCTTCCTGGTTTGTAGACCCCTTTCCACTAAGGCCTGACCTCACCATTCCTCCCTACAGGGCATGAGGGGGCAGGGCTGTGAGCACACATGTTTTGGTTTCTATTCTTACAAAGACATTGATCCTATACGTAACTTTAACTGCTTCCTTAGAGGCAGTCTTTGTCACCCTTGGCACTGGGACAAAATACTCAATACCCACAAGTTAAAGGAGAAAAGGTTTATTTTGCCTCAAAGTTTCAATCCATGGTCAGCTGGCTGTAAGGCAGAAACAGGATGGTAGAGGGTCTGTTGGAGGAAATGGTGCTCAATCCATGGCACCCAGGAAGCAGAGAGCGCAGGGAGGAGCTGGGAACAGGAATACATCCTTCCAAGTCATGCTACCAGTGACCCATCCCTTCCGAGGAGGCCATACCATGGAACATGAGAATTATGGGGGACATTTGAGATCTAAACCATAACAGAGGCCTCATCTTTAAAAACAGCCACAATGGAGGTTAGGACTTCAACATATGTATTTTGCCAAGACACAAACATTCAGCCCATTACAAAAGCCACTGTCACATTTCATAGTACTCTGCAAGTTATCCAAAATAATTAAGCACATCTTTACTGGGGACCTCTGAAACATTACTGGAAACTCCTGAGTAGGCTCCAGGCTCCTACTCAGTGTATGATGCAATCTTGAAAAACTAAAAGACAGAACTAAAAGAGACACAAAACAGGTTGCCAGGATGACCAATGCCAGTCCAAGCCACTGATTTTATCAGTAATCAATTAGGGTAAAGGCAAGCTACGGGCAAGGGCAGTACTACATGCAAGGATGTGCAGTCCTGTGGTTTCTATGGAAATTAATGTAAGCAAGGCTTGTAAAAGACAAGACAAAGCATTCTCAAATTATGAACAGAATAAATAAAATATATGATTGTAATTAGAACATTGTTCTTCTAGTTAAGAAGGTTTTAGTTGTGGGAACAGAATTTGGGTGTAAGTTACTCTGACCTCAGCACATAGGCTTCAGCTGGACTCACTTCTATAAACAAGCCAACTGTGGGGTTAACTCTTTACAGCCTGCACTGCTTACAGCCTGCTTTGGACATAATCAATATTGCTGTCTCTTGCACATCTTCCCCATGGTTCCATGGCAGTTCATGTTTCCATAGCATTCTGTGATCTAAACATGTAAAGCAAATAGCTTAGAAATTTAGAAATGTGAATGTGGTTTTCCCGTTGCCATAACTTAGCTATTTCTATGATTTTATAGAAGAAAACTTTAGAAATTTTTACCAAAACATATTAGAAAGTGATGAATTTCCCAGTAAAAAGATTTTAGTGAAAATATTTCAATTATAAAGATATTTAAAAGCTACTATAATTGATATCAAAGGGAGAAAGTCAATATTGTAATTTCTGGAACTTATTATAAAATAGGATCTTTAATGAAACTGCCAAATTTATCTTATATTTCTCTTAATTTGACACATCCATACAATGTATTTATACATACATACACACTCTAGTTTACATATATATGCGTTTCACATGAAAGAAAAATTTACAAAACCTAAATTAAAAGATTTGGAACTGATAAAGTTGATATGCCCTGCCCCGTATAAAAATATTCAAATACTCATGTGTACAAAGTCTTTGACAGATTCATAAAAGCTATTTCTTTTCTGCCCATTACTATTATTCAATTCACTTCTTAATTACTTGAGATAATATGTCTCCTAGAGAAGGGAAATGTTAAAAAATTGTCTACTACAGGTAACAATTACAAAAAGCACGTCAGTTTTCTTTATCATTTCTCCCTTTACTGTTTTGAAGGTTATACATTTTATTTTTGCTTTTGGACAATTGCTCAGAAAACTATAACTTGTATACTGGACTTTTATTATTTTTGAGGTCTGTTTCTTTCTTCCTGAGGTTATTTTAAACAAGGGTTGTCAGGTTTCTTTTTATTTATTTATTTTTTTGGTACCAGGGATCAAACTTGGGACCTTGCACTTTCGAGGCAGGTGGTGGAACCACTGAGCTAAATCCCAGCCCCAGATTTCTTTTTTCATTTTTTAAATTTACTCTTCCTCATTATTAAGTTTAGCAGTAAACTGATGTTTATACTACCATAAAGGTGCACATCTGAATTCTTAAATTATCAGCTGATACTTACTTCTTCTCCTTCATCATCATCATCATCATCATCATCATCATCTTCTTCTTCTTCTTCTTCTTCTTCTTCTTCTTCTTCTTCTTCAGAAAGGGGTGGAGGTAAAGGACCAAGGATGTCTTCCTCCAGATTAACTGGTTCTCCTACCATTTTAGGGGGTAAAGGAGGGCCAATTAACTCATCATCAGAAGAATCAGAACTGTCTTCACTTTCACTGCTGCTTGTATCTCTGAAAATAAAGAAATAGAAAATCTTTGCTTCTGCTGCTATAAACTTCTGCCTCTCCAGTAGTATCTCTGGAGATAGTTCTTGCCTCTCCTTATAACAGCTGAGTTTGTCAAATGTTTATGTGGTTGTTGGTCTTTTTGCTTATTTTGGGTTTTTGAGTCAGGGTCTCACTATGTAGTCCAGGCTGGCCTCAAACTCAAAATCCTCCTGTCTCAGCCTTCCAAGTGTTGGGATTACAGGTGAGCAACCCCAAACCTGGCTTTCGAATGTTTTTAAATTTACAATTCAAACATTAAATGTATAGTGCAAATATTATTTTATCTTAACTTTTAAAAATACCCTTTTCTAATTATCTTACCCAAACATAAATCTAAGATAAAAGGTCATACCAATTATATGTTAGAGATTCATTAAATCATTATCCCTCATAAAGAAACAGGAGAACAGAGAAGCCAGCGCTTCACTCTCGGGGCAAAATGGCAGGCAGGCCTGCTGTTGCAGCGTCAGGCCAGTATCTGGATGGTACTCAGAAATGGTATTAAAAAGCTGCAGGATTCGATAAGCTGGGCTTAATGCGTGATGATACAATATATGAAGACAAAGACATAAAAGAAGCCATAAGAAGGCTTCCTGAGAACCTTTAAAATGCTAAGATGTTTTGCGTTATGGGAGCATTGGACCTGAGCCTGAAGCATCAGATCTTGCCGAAAAAACAGTGGACAAAATATGAGGAGGATAAATTCTACCTTGCACCATATCTCAAAGAGGCTATTTGGGAAAGAAAAGAAAGAGAAGAATGGGTAAAGAAGTAATCACATAGTTGAAATCTGTGGATGCAGCTGTCTTCAAAATATTTTTATGAACTTGATTAAGCCTGCAACATAATTTAAGAATTAGTCTTCAGACATCCTACTTTAAATAAATGTCTTCGTAATCATTGTTAAAAATAAAACAGGAGAAAAACAGAACATTGAAAAAAAAAGTACTAGATCCACAAAAGTGAAAAGCATTTAGATAACCAATATCTCTATTAACTATATTTGAATCCAACAGTTTGTCACAGGAGCAAATAAAGCCATTCCTAAAAGGAAGTTAGTATTACTTCTAAAATACTTGAGTACAAATATTGAACTATTTCTTATACTATTTTGAATTACTTCTTAGTGCTAATCTACATTTGGCAAGTTGCTAAAACATTACATGTATTATTATCCCTGGATTCTAAAAAATACTTTACTCTAGGGTAACGGTGGCAAACCTAAGGCACATATGCTGCAGCAGTGGGCTATTTGTATCACTGAAAGCTCTAAAAGGTTTGCCATCACTGCTCTAGGGCACAATAATTCCCAGTCTTTTCTTTTTTAATATAATACATCAAAAGATTCCGCCGCCTGCCTCACAAGCGCACAGTCCCAAGTTCGATCCCCAGTACCCGCCCCCAAAAAGACTATTACTCTCGTTAAGGTCTCAAATAACTCCAGGCATTCATCACACACTATACCTGCACCCCATCTCAAAGGATGAGAATTCAGCATTCCTAATTGTATCAATTAAACTTTCAAATATTTTATAAAATTAAAACCATAACTCCCCTTTAACGAAGTAGGTCTGATACATAAGACTCATGAAAGCAAAAATTTCTGAGGTTTTCCGTTATGTTTTGTGGTAATAGGGACTGAATCCTAGGAATACTAAACTGTATCTCACCCCTTTTAATTTTTCTCTTCTGTGGCAGGGTCTCACTTTGTTGGCTGTAAACTTTAGATCCTTCTGTCTCAGCCTCCCAGCAGCTGGGCCTGTAGGCATGAGCCACCACTGTTTCCACCTGGTGAGGAAATTCTGGTTTTTTCATTGCTGTGCTTCTGGCACTCAACAGCTACTGAAGGAAAAATGAGACTTTCCTTTTTATTTTCACCTATGCTCAGTATAACAAGGAATATTGTACTTGCAGATGCCCCTGCTGGGGCATTTCTCCCACTGCTTATGTGGCTTCTTTCTTACCATTCAATGTCCTCAAATGTCACCTCATCAAAAAAGGCCTGAAGCACACCTTTTGGAATCTTTTACACCTCACCAGTTACCATTACCTTAATTACTTTATTTTGTTTATTATATACATGTTAAATCACCTTATGTGATTGGCTACTTGTTGTTTAAAATGTTATCTACCCCTTCAGAGGCCTCAAGCCAATAGGAGCTCAAGGAGCAGAAATCTTATCTGACCTGCTAACCCCTATATCTCCAGTTGCCCTAACAGTGCCTAACCCACAAAAGACGTTCCTTAATAATAATTCAATGAATAAATTTATATTAAGCTATATCTGCCTTGTGACTAAAACCCAAGTTTCCCTCTGTCCTCATTTAGAAGTCACATATTTTTTAATGTAAAGTTATTCAAGCTATCAAGAGCTCTAAACTGAAATGTTGATCTTTAGCATCCATACTAAGTTAACTGAGTTAACTAGTTCAAAAGTAAGCATTAAACTGAGAACTAAACTGATTCACATTGATTTCATGGCTGATTATCCAGGCCTAATACCTACATAAAATGTAAATGAAATGCATTTGTTTCTATGCAGCTTTTAACTCCATATGTAGTTTTTGCTTCTAATGTGCCCAAGCCAAGAAAACTTTTTAACATACTTTCAATACACTGAAAAACAAAGACCATGAAATTATGTCCAAAAATGCCTCTGATGGAAAACAGAATATATTACATGTTTAAAATGTGCCTTGACTTAATATGGTGTCAAAACACTAACTCCAGCCTGAGAAACAGTATGTACTGGCTGAGAAAATAACTAAAAGAGGCAAATTCTATTCTCTTCTCAGCAACATTTTAAAAGAGGCTTTAATTTAATATTAAAGTATGTGGGTGTACAGTATCAATTCAGGAACTGCATCCATAAACAAAATTCATTCATAAAATTTGTTATTTCTTGAAAGGAAACACAAATGTTTAAAATTTTCCTACCCTACAAATTTGGAGTGTGTACATCAACATTTCTTTTCTATCTTGAAGCAATACTTAATAGAATAAATGATATTTTTCTTCCCTGTACGTGATTTTCTTTTCTTTTCTTTTGTTTTTTGGGGGGAGGTTTTTTTGTTTCAGTACTGGGAATCAAACTCAGGACCTTGCACTTGCCAGGCAGGCTCACCACTGCTGAGCTAAATCCCAGGCCTTTTGAATGGTAACTTATGTCCATATAATACTTCTTTAAAACAATAAAAATGGCACGGTTAGGTAACTGTCTTTCTGCACACCAAATTTCAATAACGTAACGGATTTTCAGAAAATTATTCACATGTTTTGTGAAACAAGCTCACAATATCACAAAGGAAACAAACTAACCTAATACTTACCACAGTCAGGAGACCTGTAGAAAAATCCTAGAAATGAATTCACACTAAAGAAACAATTTATACTTAAAAAATGTCCACAGGTGTACACATCTCTTAAGGCTTTTTTGTTTGTTTGTTTGTTTTTTACATCTCTTAAGTTTTAATGACTGTCCTAACAGCATGCCCCAACCAGTGCTGGGTGACTAAAATTTAGATAGAAATCTACTGTCTCAAACAGAAGACATGGATGAAAAATGAAAAATGTGCGGAAATCCTCAAAAAGGAAAAAGCTATTAAACAGAAGGAAGGAATAAAAAGAGAAAAAGGAGGAGAATAATTCTGCAAAAAATTGTATCCAAATCTCTGGTTGACTCCTGAAAAACAAAAGCATCATTCTCCAAATAACCCCATCAGTCTAAAAGAACTGAACAGAGACTTCAGCTTTAAAATGACTAAATAAGGGGAAAAGTCATTTGATTTAAGCATTTTCACTCCCTGCTTATATTTAGCTTTTTCTTAATATATACTTTTTAAACTACAAAGCATTTTGAAAGTCACTGGCATAAGAATGCTTAAAAGTCCTTAGCTAATGAGCAATGTCATATTTTTTTATTTAAAAATGGATTGCCCCATGAGGCCCAACAGAGCAAAGCCACCAGGCAAGGCAAGAAATTAAATGGAAAGGGGGGAAAAATAAAAAATAAAAGAGCCAACAACAGAAAAACATCACGACAAGGATGAGTCAATATCAATTATAACCGTCAATGTTAATGGCCTCAGTTCACCAATCAAAAGAAATAGACTGGCAGAATGGACTAAGAAGCAAAATCCAACAATATGCTATACACAAGAAACTTACCTAACAAAAAAAATTCATAGACTGAAAGTAAAAGGATGGAAAACAGTTCTCCATATGACAGGAACCTGGAAAAAAGCAGGGGTAGGAATCTTATTTGCAGACAAAGTAGATTTCAAACCAAAATTAATTAAGAGAGACAAAGATGGTCACTACATCCTTGTGACGGGAACAATCAAAGAGGAAGAGATGACAATCCTAAATATATATGCAAATACAAATGCCCCCAGCTCTACAAAACAAATATTAATAGACATGAAAAACCATATAAGCACTAATACAATTGTAATGGGAGACCTCAATATCCCACTATCACAAATAGACAGATCAAGGGCCAGGAATTTAGCTCAGTGAGTCCAGTGCCTGCCTCACAAGCACAAGGTCCCAAGTTCAATCCCCAGTACCAAAAAAAAAAAAAAAGAATATTACAATTTCCGGAGATGTAGCTCAGTGGTTCCACCGCCTGCCTCCCAAGCACAAGGACCCAAGTTCGATCCCCAGTACCAAAAAA